CCCTCCTCCTTCTCCTCCCTCCAGCAAACCCACCCGCATTTCCCTCCAAAATGTCTGTTCCCTCTCAAATAAAGCCCTCACCGTTCACGAGCTCAGCCTGGATGAGCATCTTGACATTCAGGGGCTCACCGAAACCTGGCTCTCCCCCAATGATCCCGTCCCCCTAGTTGAAGCCTCCCCTCCAGGCTACACCTTCCCCCACACCCCCCGTCCAAACCAACATGGTGGTGGGGTGGCCCTCATCTCCAAAGCCTCCCTGGTCTTACCCCCTACTCCTCTGGCTGCTTCCCCTCCTTCGAGCACCTCACCCTCTTCCATCCCTCTCTCCCATTGAAAATCCTCCTGGTCTACCGCACCTCTAAACCCCCCAGCTCCTTCCACACAGACATCCCTACTCTCCTCTCTTCCCTGTCCCTCTGCTCTGAGCACCTACCCATAATGGGCGATTTCAACTTCCATCTAAACTCCCCTTTCACCACTTCTTCCAACTTCACTGCCCTCCTCTCCTCCCTAAACCTCACCCTTCATATAAATTCACCCACCCACAACTGTGGTCATGCCCTCGACCTCATTATCACCCATGGACTTGACATTTTCCACCTTATCATAGTTGACAAGACCATCTCGGACCACTTCCTCATCTTCTTCTCCTCTCACATCCCTCTCTCCTCCACCAAGCTTTCAACCATTCTCTACCGCCCATGGAAAAGGCTACCCCCTGAGACCCTCACAAAGGCCCTCACATCATCAAATATCCTATTCCTCTGACCTTCCACCCACGGAGATCCTGAAGCAGCCGTCCAGCTGCTCCATGATTGCCTCTCCTCCACCTTCAACTCCCTATCCCCCTGAAATCCAGGACCATCTCCAAACCCACCGGATCCCCCTGGTACAACAACCACCTCCACTACCTAAAAGCCCAAACCCGGCTCCTCAAGCGCAGAGGGCGGAAAACTGGCCTGACAGTTCACCGCCGACTGTGGCTTGAGCATCTCCACATTGTTCTTTGACACGCGCAAAAACGGCCTTCTACTCCAACATCATCTTGGAGGCTAAACACAACCCTAAAATCCTTTTTTCCACCACTCACTACCTCCTCCGTGCCCCCCCTCAGGCCTCCTCAATCTTCACATCCAATGCCAAGTGCAAGGAGGTCATGGACTTCTTTTCATCCAAAATACACAACATCCGCCAGGCAGCCTCATCCACCTGTCCCTTGTCACCCTCCACCACCCCCTCTCCATCCCCCTCACCCTCCCCATTATCAGCTCCTACCACCACCCCCATCCTACATTCCTCGCTCCCCATCTCTCCCTCCTCCCTCTCACCCACCATCATCTCAATGAAACCCACCACCTGCTGCCTCAACCCCCTCCCCACCAACTTACTGAGCACCAAGCTCCCCCTCCTCTGCCCACTACTGGCTGATATCATCAACCAGTCCCTCTCCTCTGGATCAGTCCCTGCCCCCTCAAAACTGCTGTCATCATCCCACTCCTCAAAAAACCTTCCTTAGATCCCTCAAACCCCAGCCACTACCGCCCTATTTCTAACCTGCTCTTCCTCGCAAGAGTCCTAGAATGCAATGTTGCCAATCAACTCTGCGCACACCTGTCCTCACGCTCCCTCTTCGTACCCCTCCAGTCTGGTTTCCGCCCTGTCCTCAGTACAGAGACTGCGCTTGTGAAAGTCATCAATGACATCCTCTCTATCTGTGACCAGGGCTCCTTCTGCCTCCTCGTCCTCCTGGACCTCTCTGCCGCGTTCGACACAGTCAATCACGCCATCCTCCTCCACTGACTTTCCTCCGTCATCCGCCTTAGTGGGACCGCACTCGCCTGGTTCAAGTCCTACCTCACAAACCGCCAGCAGTACATCTGCACGTATGGCTCACCCAGTTACCTGCGGGGTACCCCAAGGATCCATCCTTGGCCCCCTCCTCTTTCTGACCTACATGCTCCCTCTTGGGGATGTCATCCGCAGACATGGGGTACACTTCCACATGTATGCGGACGACACCCAACTCTATTTTTCCACCTCACTTTGCGACCCCCAGTCCCCTGACATTCTGTCAGCCTGCCTGTCAGGAGCTGGATGAGCGTAAATTTCCTTCAGCTGAATGTTGACAAGACGGAAGCCATACTTTTTGGCTCTCATCAACGTCTAAAATCTCACGGTTCTCACCTCCTCCACCTTCCCGACCTCCCCCGAACCCGTACGCAACCTAGGCGTCAGGCTTGACCCCCTAATTATCCTTCCTCCCCCACATAACATAACATGTAGGAGCAGGAGTAGGCCATTCGGCCCTTCGAGCCTGCCCGCCATGGCTGATCTTCTAATCTGACTCCAGCTAATAACCTGACCCTGCCTTATCCCCATATCCCTTAATCCCTTTTGCAATAAGAAATCTGTCTATCTCAGTCTTGAATATGTTCAAGGACTGAGCGTCAACAGCCCTTTGGGGTAACGAGTTCCATACATTCACCACTCTTTGAGTGAAGAAGTTCTTCCTTAACTCAGTGCGAAAGGGCTGGCCTCTGATTTTAAGGTTGTGACCCCTGATTTTAGTTTCTCCAACCAGGGGAAAAAATCTCCCACTCCCACATCCGGTCCCTCACCAGCACCGCTTTCTTCCACTTCTGATGCATCGCCCTTCTCCGCCAATACCTCACTCCAAAAGTCGCTGAAACCCTGGTCTATGCCTTTGTCACCTCTCGACTATTTGAATATTTGACTATTCAAATGCCCTCCTCGCCGGTTCCCCTCCACTACCATCCATAAAATCCACGTCATACAAAACTCTGCCGCCTGCATTCCCACCCGCACCAAACTCCGCTCCCTGATCACCCCAGTCCTTGCCAGACTGCACTGGCTGCTTGTCCCAGAGAGGAACGACTTCAAGATCCTCACCCTTGTCTTCAAATCCCTCCACTCCTCTGCACCCCCCTACCCTCTGACCTCTCTCCTCACAACAGTGCCTGTTGCCTTCGTTCCACCGGGTCTGGCCTCCTCCTTGTCCCCCGAGTCCTCCGCTCCACCCTCGGCAGCTGTGCCTTCAGCCACTATGCCCCGAGGCTCTGGAACTCCCTTCCTCACTCCCTTCGCCTCGTCCCCTCTTCCTATTTTCAGGTCTCTGCTGAAGACCTTTCTTTTCGACCGTGCCTTTGGTCACCTTCTTCCCCCCCACCCGGCTCGGCCACGGGATCCATTACTGTGAAGCACTCTGAGACGCTGTCCAGCGTGGAGGGCGCTATATAAATCCAAGTTGTTGTTGGTTGTTGTTGATTGTTGGCCAGGACACCATGAGAGACTTCCTTCTCTTTCCAAATAGTGACGTGAGATCTTTACCGTCCATCCTGGTAGACTGCACATCAGTTTAACATCTGATCTGAAGGAAAGCTTCTCCGACAGTGCAACAGCAGTGCATTAGAATGTCAGCCATGAGTTCAAAGACCCACAACCTTCATGACTCAAAGATAAGAGTGGTACCAACTGAGCCAGGAAAACACCGAAATAGCTCCATGGGGACCATACCTTGCTCAAGTGACAATTATTCACGCATGAGCCTCGATGAGTGTTGGTGGGCTATTCAACTGAGGGTGGCTTCACAGTCAAGTCTAATCACCCCCCATATGAGCCTACAGCTGGGGGCCAGCAGGAGAGTGGGAAACTTCACCCCTTTCTCAACCAGGAATCAGAGACCAATTGCAGCTCCTCAACCAATCGCTGTCCTGGGTGAGATCAGTTAATTCAGCACAAACACAGTCCCCAGATGATAGGAGACACAATTCATTTTTACTTCACCCAAATAAAACATTTTAAAATGATTGTTGCAAATGCATACTTTTAAAAATAAAGTCCGAGAGGGTTGAAATATTTTGTTTTACTCAATAAATCAAGTTTTGAACATACAGTGTAAAATATACAGCTTATGATATTTAACACTAAAGGTTTTGGAAACACTGCTTGATTGTAAGAAAGTGTCATTAACATTTGAATACTCTTTTTAAGTACAAATTTGAATCACCATGAATGAAATCAGGTTACCAACATCCTTACATTCAGCAATTCTATTTGGTAAGTCTGTACTTTGTTAAACCAGCAATGTATTTTACAGAACAATCCTTATCTCATCTTTCAATCACCAGTAAAAGAAAATGATGATACATACTGGCCTAATTTTGTGCTTATATATTCTGATAAATATGGCTTGTTTTCACTAACTAACAGTGCAATAGCTCTCATCATTCAAATATTTCACCAGTTAAACATTATCAAAATATAATCAAACATAAGAAAAAGTAATGTCACAAAAAGGAGGGCGGGGGGTGGGGAGGAATCCAATAATCATATCAATGGATCAACCGAAAGTAAGTTATTCTTTAAACACTAAAACCTCAACACAGCACTACCAACGTGCTTAGTATAAACTCTAACATAGAGTATGAGTTTGTCAAAGCTAAAGAGTGCAGTTTTACTCATCTCCATCGTAGAGTAGTGCTCCAAAACAAAGGGGCACTTGTAAAGTTGTAACATGGACTGAAAGAAAAAATATGTACAATATATAAAAAGTAATGCATTTTCTCTCACTCCAGTTGTGATTTGTAATACTGAAAAAAGTCTTCAGTGTTCAGCATAGAAATCAATTCTTTTAGAAATTAATGTTTGGTATTTAGTTTACATAATGCAGGGCAGACGGGATTACTTAATAAATATGATCCCATAGAAATGTTCCATCAAAACTCTCTTGCTAAGTATTCAAGCCTAACCTTTGTTCAGTATCAAGGGTTGATGTCAAATAAACAGACATCATACTCAGAAATAGAGACTGATAAACATCAGCGCTACATCTTCAGGCCACAAAAGTGCACTTCCAACAGGAGAGATATAAAAATAGATGCATTCATTCATTCATTCAATCATTCAATCATTCATTCATTTTATGCAGTGACATTTCCAGCACATGTTCCTAGCAGAGAAAGCTCTTCCAGTCTTTAAAATTCTTAGTGTTCCATTTACTTCCAGCAGCACACAGAGCTCTTTGGGGGCAGAGGAGAAACATGATGATGAATAAAGCATTGGCCTGGCCTGATATATGGCCTGGGCTAGGAATGCTGCATAAGTCTTCTGTAGTGTGGGAGCACCTCATGTTCAGAAAGATGGAGAGCAAATTCCAAGGCCACCAACACTGGAAACTCAAATGCTATGAGTTCACGTCTGTTGAGTCTGAACTTTTCTTCCAGTTTCTTTAGGAATGAAAGATAATAACAAGCGTTACATGGACAATTTTTCACAATCCCATCAGTAATTGTAATAATTAATAATTAATCCAAGTTTTTGGTTTCTAAATTCTCATCTGAAGCGAATCTTGTTGTTTGGTTCTATGAGTTTCAGGACTTCACCCACATGGACATTCATCATATGTGAGTTTGGACATTAAAGACCAGTGAGCTACTCAAACATGACAACAAGCTTAGTCATATTGTTCCCCAGCATCCATACATAGCTGCTCTACCAGGAGCCCTGAATAAACACTGGGTGCAGGAACCTAGCTCACTTATTCAATCCTAAACACTGAAGCTAACTGCAGTGTTTTGCACAATTGTCCTGGCTGGGATCAGATAATGTAGCTCCCAAAATTTTACTGACAAGTGTAGTAACTATATTTGTAGGCAAATGCAGCAGTCAGTTTGCACACGGCAATGTCCACAAACAGCCATGAAGCAAATCACCAATTTTATCTGGGGGATTGTTGGCCAGGACACCTGGAGAAACCCCCTTCTCTTTTTGACTGTGACATGCAATCTTTAAAGCCCACCTGAACAGGGCAGACTGAAGCTCAGATTAATATCACATCTAAAGGATGATAATAATCTTTATACTCTTTGCATTTGATAAAGCGCCTTATCACATCTTCGAGACATCTCAAAGCACTTCACAGAAACTACTGTACAGTGAATTGGCTGTATATTTTGTGGGTGAAACCCGCAGCCACTTGCGCACAGCAATGTCCCACAAACAGTCATGGCTTGAGTGACCAATTTATTATTATTTATTTATTTATTTTTGAAGAGATTACTTACCCCCGGAAAAACGATCCACCAATCGACTTACAATCGGGTTCTTATGTACTGCTAGGTAAACAGGCGTGTGGAGTAAGGAAACTTGCTTAATATTTCACCCTGCCCACAAATCAAACCCAGGTTCTCTTGCTTGCTAGGCGCGTGTTCTAATCACTAAGATACAGGATTAAGTTGAAGGATAGCATTTGTAAGAATGCAAGAATGAGAATGACTATAAGACTATGACTACGAGCTCAAAGTCTTGATATGCAGCTAGAATCGACAACCTTCTGACTCAGATATGAAAATACTACCAATTGAACCAGGCTGCCAACTAAACAACTACCAAATGTGTAAGTGTGTTGTTTTTTCAGATGATACAAACACCATAATTGCAGTACTCAGAAATCCCATTTTTACAAAATGTACTTTGTTGCATATCTGCATGTCTGTCAGTTGTCAGTAACGGGGTAAGTGGAAGTCACGATCACTCCCAGCATTTTACTTTTGAGTTGTTTCCCGGACAAGAATTTTTATGAATCTATGAATAGCAATGAGGAGCTGGAACCCTCCCTCCAGTCCAGCAGATCAATTATAGCACCTCAGGACAGAAATTCCACCTGGGTTAGGATTTGCTCCATTTTGTTACTCTCATCTATTTATGTCGTGTTTCAGAGCATCCAAAAATTTGACAATTTGTTCTTAAAAGAACTTACAGAAAACCAGCTCCATAATGAGGTAGCCAAAAATGAAGATTGCCTTTAAGAACTCGCCAAATTCTGTATTTTCTGAATTGCTATATAGAGTGAATCTAATCTTAGTTGGAGCTTCTACCCCATGATTGCTGCTTCCCCAGTGGTCTATAAGAACAAACCTTGCATATGATAAAATGCCTTTTCGCGTCATTGAGACGTCTCAGTTTCACAGGATATAATAATAATCCTTACATTTGATACAGTGCCTTATTACGTCGTTGAGACATCACAAAGCGCTTCATAGGATATACTATAAAGTGGATTGACTGTATATTTTGTGGGCGAAATATGTTTTACACAGCTCAGTGGATTTACCACCTAGAACACTAGGAATGCAGTGAGCATGTCTGCTTTTCTCAATGTACTTACGTCAATCAGATGCTTGACTTCATGTTTTCGGAGGTCACTGCCTATTTTGGCTGCCAATAAAACACAAGCACCAGCACACAGTTTGCGGTTCTGCTTATCGAGCTTCCCTTTGAGGGCCAGCTTTTCGAAGTAGACAAAGGACATGGCGACAGTGGGCTCTTCCAGGCCACACTCCTCCTGAGCCAGCTTCCGCATCTCACGTTTCAGGCTGTGGGAACAATCCCAAAACACCCTCAACAACTTGAAAACAAATGACCGGAAGGAGAGAGCTTCCCGCCTGATGGTTTTGTCACATGATGGTGATCCCAAGACCCACTTTGTTCCTGAATTAAACGGTGATGTCACCTCCACTTTGGTTTTGATGGTTGTTTTATAACTCAACAAGAACTTACATTTTTACAGCCTCTTTGATGGGAAAGAAACCCAAAGCCCTTGAACCATCGCAAAGAATATCACATTGAAATTAAGTGAATACTGTTTGCCCCCAAAACACAGTCATTGCACTTTACAGTAATAATAATAATCCTTGCATTTGGTACAGTGCCTTTCACATCAGGAAGACATCACAAAGCACTTCACAGGATATACTGTCAAGTGCAGTGATTGTGGCAGCCATGTTGTGCCCAGCAGTCTCCCACGAACCAATTTTATTTGGTGAATTGTTGGCCAGGATACCGGGAGAAACTCACTTTCTCAGTATATCCCGTGAAGCACTTTGGGACGTCCTCTCAACGTGAAAGGCATTATACCAAATGTAAGGGTTACTATTGTAGAGACAAATAGGGCAGCTAAACTACAACCAGCAACGTCCTACAACAACTTACATTTATATAACGCCTTTACATTGGGAGGACATCTTGAAGCATTGTATAGCTGATTGGAAGCCCAAGCTCCCAATGATTGGAATACCCAACTGATTAGAATTGGGGTGGAGGGGTGATTGGATAAGTAGAGGAATGTAAGACAAGATAACTGGAAGAAAAACACTTTGAAAAAGAAGTGGAATTTCTTCACAAGCACCTCAATTGCAAGGTAGACAGGACGTAAATTGATGACTCAATCGTAAAAGGAATAATGAACTGGAAGTAAATAAATAATAAACACATATAGTATTCTATCTCATTCGCTCTAAACCCATACCAGCATAACAGCAAGTTTTTAGACCACAGCCTTTCCCATAACTTTTTGTATTATGCTGGTCCAGCACTGAATGTATTAAGAATTTCCTAGTGTCTGCTACATTTCAACAACAAAAGTGTTAAACTGTGAGTTGCAAACATTACAAATTAGATCTGCAGATCTTTCCACCTTTGTATTCTTTCCAGCATAAAATTAAACAGCAAAATTAAATGTGCATTGTTCGTTTCTCTAGCTGCGTTGCTGTTGCAGATTTAACACAGCTCTCTATGTTATTGTTATCCCAAACCAACACTCCTCCCCACCTCCTGCACTCAGGTAGCAGGGTTCCTGTCCACCTTTTTGAACCTGACTGACAGCTGTGCTGTCTGATCCTGTCAGCTGTCAGGGCAGTTAGTAAGATGTGTGGAACAGCCTCTGGGCAGTTTCCAATGGCAAAGCCTGGTCACCAGATATAAACACTCAGCTACAGCTCTGCACTTATGTAGCAATCGAGGAGGGCAGGCCTGGTGTTAACAAAGACCTGGGCAGTCATGTTCTGGATAAATTCAAACATGTCAACAATTCCCACCCCGACTTTGTGTCCATCAAGCACCAAATGGTCGTCAAACAGAGAAGCAGGTTTGGCCTCAGGCTCCTGAACTCTTACTCCCCTCCCACAACCCAGCTCAGGTGGCCAGACAGTTGTGGAATGCGCTTTGAGACTTCCAACATGAAAAGCATTGTATAAATGTAAATTGTTTTGTATTGTATAATAAAGGGATGGGAGAAGAATTCCAAGCTGGATGTTCTGTAAACAAAAAGAACGATTATAAAATACACAGCTCTCCGGGTAACTTGCTTATATTTTACCACCTGGATTAATTCCCATTGACACCCCTTTTGGGAAAGCCGGCTCCCGCCCATCAGCACAGGACGAAAAGTCACCTGCTGAATGTGCTTCAGTCCCAGAGCACCAGCAAAGTCAGACATCGGTGCTCAGCAGGCTCTCATCTCTTTGGCATGTTTAGAATGTGCTATTACTAAAATGGCTGATTTTAGTAGGTCATAGGGTCCTTCAACATTTGGGGACATAACTTAAGAGCAGGGAAACAAAACAAATAAAAAGAGAAGAGAATGAGGCTCCATCAGAAATCCGAACACATTGCTCCCCTCACTTCTAGTGTGTAACACTGTGAGATTGACTGAAACAAACAAGTTTGTTGAGAATGAACTGGCCACAAATTAGCTTTCGGAATGAGAGAATTGTAAATGTTTATTGTGACAATGAGGATGTCTTTTTCGGCACAGTGTCTTGGGGAATGAAGCTGATTTAATCAAATTTAATAACACTGGGTATTGAAGGATATTAAACCATATTGAAGCAGAGAGCACTAATGCATTTAAGAGGAAACTTGATATACATGTGAGTGAGAAGGGAATAGAGGATTATGAGAGGAGGCTAGGGAGGGGAAACAGAGGGCAGACTATTCTGTTGTATAATTTAAGAATGCACAGAATTGTGGAAAATTCTTAGCCTTCGTTTTAATTAGGAAGTTGGCCTACATTCGCACTGTTGATGGCTTTTAAAAACTGCTGACTTCTCAGGTGGACTGAGAGTGTCTAAAATGGACGCTTCTTACCCCATCCCAAATAGAGCTAATTTTACCTCATACTTTACAATATCAGAGAACAGATTGCTCTGTCCCAACCTCCTGCTTACCTCCGGATTTTACTGAGCGTCAATTTGATATAAGGAAACTTTTCCTTGAAGGTTTCATTCATGTTCTTTTTGAGATCGGATGGCTTGACATATTCAATTACTGTTGTCTAAAGAAAAGGAAACATTGCTTTTAGTATTGTCCACAAACAGCATTCTCTGACGATTCTAAAATATCCACCTGATATCAATGTCAAAAATGGGGGGAACTGGAACCAAAGAGTAAGCAGTTAACTGTAAAGAAAGCTAGTGAAGTAAATCAAAGGTATTTCAGAACAAACATAAAAAGTATAATTTTTATAAGGGCAAATTGACCCCCAAGTTACCACACCAAGTGCATTGCCATGTCAGTCATGTACCGGCCAAAGTACAAAACACTCTATATCAGAATTTAGCAAACACTAAGAACACTACTATAAATTGCCTTTTACGTTACTACAGTTCTGGGATTTCCAGAAATTTTTGATATGAATGTTCCTTTTATGATATGAAATAAAAAGCTCTGTTTAGAGCTTTTAGAGCTTTAGTTTAAATCAAATCCTTCTCTGCGATGACAGAAACTGCGAGGAAATTCTAAAATATAATCTACAGAAATACTAATAAATGCTTAGGAAAAGAGTTAGGAACAGGAGGAAGCCATTCAGCCCATTGAGCCAGTTCAACCAGAGGTGTCGTCCTTTGGATGAGTTCCATTCTGCCTATTCAAGTGGACATTAAAGATCCCATGGCACTTTTCGAAAAAGCGAAGGGAGTTTCTCCCGGTGTGTTGACCAAAAACCGCCCCCTCTCCCCCAATAAAAATTGGACACTTACTCCATGCTTGTTTGCTGTGTGCAATTGGCTGCTGCGTTTTGCTCACAAAATACACAGTCAATCCACTTTACAGTATATGCTGTGGAACATTTCGAGACGTCTCAATGACAGGATCAGGTGCTACATCGAATGCAAGACTTATTATTATTATTGTTATTTATCTAATTTGGGCAGATCGTTTAGCCTGATCCTTCTGCCATATCCCGTAATACTCCTATTCCCCGGTTATTCGCCCACAAATATACAGTCAATTCACTTTACAGTCTATTCTGTGAAGCGCTTTGAGACGTCGAGAAGACGTGAAAAGCGCTATATCAAATGCAATTATGATTAGTATTATTTTATATCTGTATATCTCTTTTAAACATTTTTGTTGATTCTGCTTCTACAAGCTTTCTCGGACAGAGTATTCCACATTGTCACAACCTCTGTGTTAAGAAACACCTCCTGACCTCAGTTTAGTCCACACAACTGTCTTAATTCTGAGATACTTCCATCTCAAGAGCAGTGTATAAAACACCATCTGGAGTCCTGTAGCTCAGTGGTTAGAGCACTCGCTTCGCAAGTGAGAGATCTGGGTTTGATTCCCGACAGGGCAAAATGTGTGGCAAGTTTCCTTACTCCACACTCCTGTTTACCTAGCAGTAAGTGGGAACCGGTTGTTAATCGAATAGCGGGTCTCTTTTTCGGGGATAACTATCCCTCAAGAAAAAAAACAATAATAATTTGGTCACTCAATCCACGACTGTTTGTGAGACACTGCTGTGCGCAACTGGCTGCCGCGTTTTGCCCACAAATATAGTCAATTCACTTTACAGTATATTCTGTGAAGCGCTTTAAGACATCTAGAAGATTTGAAAAGCGCAATATCAAATGCAAGGATTATTATTATTATTATCTTCTCATGACATAATTTGGTTCAAGATGAAAAGATAATTGTTTATAATGCTGTTTCTGATCTACAGCTGCAAATAAAACTAAATTAATGAGTTCATTCTGCAATGTGTTCATTCACCAAAGCAACAGGACAAACTGCTGGGAAAGAACCTATGAATACTGAGGAATAACTGAGACAGATAGATCCCAGGACACAGGCAATTGCAAACTCATCAATTTCTGTTCAATAGTGGAAAGAAGGCGGTTAGAGTAGTATATGTTTAGTGGACTTGAATTGGTCTTGTAAATCTGTGGTAATAAAAATAATCTGTGCATTTGCTGTAATACCATGAATTGCAACGTGCTTCAAATGTTTTCCGTAAAGTGTAATAGCTTTGTATTTTGTAGGCAAATGCAGCAGCTAATTTGTTTATTTGTGTGCGTGTGACTGCATGCATTTGGGTGAGTTTGAGTCCGTAACTCTGTCTGTTCAGCGCCTTGGGATGTTCTCCCGACGTGAAAGGCGCTATACAAATGTAATGTTGTTGTTGTTGCTTACTTCTGTGAAGCAAGGTTCATGATTTCACTTGGGTGAATCTCAGGCAGGTTATTGGTGGGAGGCAGCCAGCAGAAGTAAGTTGCTTGCCAGCGCACGATTGAAGTTTGTGATTTGGGCAACAATTTTCCACTAGATATGCAGCAGAAACCCATTGAGGATGAAGCCTGGTCCTGACACCATCTGCAGGTAGTGGCTCCTAGAAGCCTGAATAGACCATTGTTTAACATGATCAAAGAGCTGTTTGCACATCCAGCTCTTTGTCAATATTAAAATACTGTTACGTTTGCGTACAAAATATAATCAAATGTTGGGCAAGTTTCCTTACTCCACACACCTCTGTTTACCTAGCAGTAAGTAGGAACTCAGCTGTTAGTCGATTGGCGGATCACTTTCTGGGGATAATAATCCCTTAAAAAAAAATTTGGTCACTCAACCTACGACGGTTTGTGGGACACTGCTGTGCACAATTTGCTGCTGCAGTTCGCCCACAAAATATAGTCAATTCACTTTACAGTATATTCTGTGAAGCACTTTGAGATGTCTCAACAACATGATAAAGCGCTATATCAGATGCAAGGATTATTATTATAGCCACTACACTTCACAGCAAATCCTGTGAAACTATGAGATACCCTCTCGATGTAAAAGATGCTACAATAAATCCCCAATTTACCAGATTGCTGGTATCCGGAATTCAAACCTAACCGGAAATGGCCAACAGCCTAAATTTTTTTAAAAATTTCAGCCCGTGGGTACATGCAGAATACCCAGTTTGCCATCTTTTAAACTTTGAATCAGAGAGATGTAGAGCCTAAGTATAAATAAAATCTTCCTGCTCCACAGGACTAAGTGTGCGGAATGCTCACAGTACTGTAGACACAGCTTGTAATATAAATCTGAAGAGCCAAGGATGTCTGGTGACCTTGCAATCTATGCTGGCTGCACTAAGCACCACTTGGACATTCCTCTCAGAACCTGCTCCAATACACTGTCTTTCTGCAGCTATTTTATTCTAAGCTGGCAGGAAGTAATTCAGTGAGAAACAGCCAAGAAAAAAACAGGAAGGACCAGCAATCAAAGCTGAACCTCTTCAGCGCCAAGTCTCAGTGACCATCTCAGCCATCAGTACAACTAACACTCTGATAAGGAACCTTGTCAAGTACAAACAAGGCATAAAATAGATCAACACTAAATTCATTGTTTGTTTTAGTTCAGAATAAAGAATGTTCAAATCTTCACACTGAACCCAACAGTGCTCTGACTCTAAATAGATGAACGTTGAACCTTAATCATCGTGGTCCTATAGAGAAGGACAAGTGGAGAGGTGTTGGAGCCATAAATAGGACAAGATGACCAACTCTCAATATTAGTGCAAAAGATCAAATATCTTTACACTCAACACTCTGTCCTATTGAATAATCCACACACTCTCAGGAACAGGCTGTCAGGTGAACTATTTGTTGTGATTTCTCTGAAATGATGGTTTTGTTACGAGTGGTGAGATATATTGTCCTGACTGAAGAGTTCCTACTTCAGGTTAGCATCACTTCCTGCTCTAGAGACACGTGTTCTAACTGGGTATTTAGAAGTCAATTGGTGCAAGAAGATTTTTTTTAATAAAGTATTTTGATTCTTCCCTGTTACTCTTTCTTCTTCATTCTCACTCTTCCCTGTCCTGAAAATGGTGACTTTTGCTGAAATACTACTCCAGGGACCTGTATCCTGCCCTAGAGGCTATTCTTCAATTGAATGGCAAGTTGTCCACTCATCACAAGCCAAGCCTGAGCCTGTCCTTACAAACCCCAGCAATACCCCAGTGCACACTCTGAGATCCCCAAGATAGATTGCAAGGCCACCAGACATCCTTGGTCTTTACACTTATATTAAGCTGCACCTGTCGTCCACACACACGTAACAGTCAAGCCACGTCTATAGTCCACACACACAAACCTACATTTATGTTAATGTATATATGTACTTTTACGTGAACAGATCAAGAGCAGGAAACCAAGATCTGATAATGTTTTTCATCCATCAATTTCTTGATACATGTGGAAACCCATTGCCATGCTTAAAAGTATCCAGAACAAAGTACTGGAGTTCATATGCATAGCAGTTTCTGTTTGTCCTTATGGACGGGCACAAGGAGCCACTGGGAAAAGAGCCATTTACCTCAGTGTTATGCACTCTGGCTCATTCTCAGCAAAAATCAGCTTCAATATGAATGAGATTATCTCCATGTACACAGCAATTCCGTGTGAAATGTTTTGAGACGTTTTGATGCTATCAGCATTATATCAAAGACAAGGATTTTTGGTACAAATCCTTATGCAGTTTAGTAAATCTGCCAGTATCAATAGTGTGCCCATCAATCCCTTTTGAGATTCACCTGTGCATGGCTAGTTCAACAACAACAACAAAATTACATTTATAGAGAGCCTTTCTCGTCGGGAGGACGTCCCAAAACGCTGAACAGTCAGATGTCGGGGCCCGAGCATAGGGGAGGGGTGGTGTAGGGGTGAGGGAAGGCGGAGGAGTGGGAGGTTCAAGGCTGCTTTAAACATCCCAGTCCACAGCCCATGTAAGGTCTGTCTCAAGACCTACCTCTTTGACCGCGCCTTCGATCACCTTTCTCCTCTCCACTCCCTTCAGCTCCTAGCCCAGCTCAGGTGCCAAGATAGGACTGTCAAGCACCCTGGCATGTCGTCCCGACATGAAAGGCAGTATACAAATGTAAATTGAAATGTATTGTAACTTGCACCCTGGAGCTCAATGTTAAGCTTGCCTCAATGAGCTTACCTTTCTGTCGTGCTACGCACAGATTTCATTTGTTTCACAATGACCGCATTGTGACAATAGAGA